TATATATATATATATATATATATATGCATATATGTATATAATACATGACCCTTAGTAATTAATGGACGAAAGATGATGCTAATTAATCAGGTTAGGGTAGCTGATAACATCGAAAAGTAACTTCTAAGCGCGCGCTTTGTTGTCACAGTCAAACCGTAAATTGAAAAATTCAAGTACCAACTCTACTACTTCTTCTTTCGTTTTTTTTTGTTTTTTGGGTCCAACTTACTATTATATATATACATATATTTGCATATATGCATATAATACATGACACTAGAGCTAATTCAATAATTCATATACCAGTGAATAGTAATGCCGTATGGCGACTTGTTAAAGACGTGGACGACGAGAGTGTCACCCTCTTTAACGCCTATTGTCGGTCCAGGCAATCCTCCATTTACTGCCGTTATCTCTTGCTCACGACAGAGCTTCGTCGCCACAAAATTTTCAACCTGCACGCGAAAATATATACGTTACTAATTAAAGCATTAAGGAATTTAAAACTAGGTATATATAAAGGAAGTAAAATGTGCAAACCTTACAAACTATTAAGTTAATCAAAAATGAAACTATGTCATTAGAACCATTTTCGATTTACGTGTATTTTTTGTGAGAGAAAATACTATAGCGAACCAAGAACCATGATTCGAATCAATGAACGAATCTAGGTACCAAACGGACTCTATCGACAAAAGAAATACTTACATTGAAAGAATGCTCCACTATTGCAGCGAAGGATGTTGAGGAAGCTAAAAGAGCTATAGCGCACGCTAGCCAAATGGCAAATCTTGCCATAATATTGTTGAAAGTTGAGATTTTGATAATAAGGATAAATAAAAACAAAAGTGTGAAAGCTATATATGGATAAGAAAGTGTTGAGGAGAGATGTTTTTCTTATTAGACTGTTTTATTAATGTTTTGTGATATCTCAACACAAGCATATAATGTTCTATTTATAGTAGGGCAACAAGCAATTACGTAACGAAATAGATAATAGCTGGCTCAAATGGGTTTTGACAAAGGCCAAGCGCTATAGCTTTCGTTTTTGAATATTTTGCATGGTTTGGTTTACCATGGTATGCGGAAAATTCACTGTAATTCCCAAGTAAATATATGAATTTACTTACTTGGTCAATTAATAATATGAAATATGTCATTATCCACAACGTTTAATGAGTCTCGTATAAAAGTCAGAATATCTTTATTAATTGGTTTGTTATTTGAAGATGAAGCACAAGAGTTCGTTTTTGAATGGGATGTTTGGTCGACGGTTGCCCAAATTAACTTCTCTCTCGTGATGATAACGTTATTGACACGTTCTATTTACATTTGTAGCTGTATTTTATTAAGTCTTCATTATTTTGATGACAAGCTTTTCGTGTTCTGTTTTCTAGGAACCATAGAGCAAGTTGATTTCTCTAATTCCAGTGACATATTTGTTATTGTTATTATTTTATCGGAAATAGTAGGAAATAAGCCAATATGAAAAGCTTAAGAAAGTATATAGGCCAATTTTTAGTTATAAAAATTAATAGGCAATAACTTGTCAAGTTGTGGTTTATAACCAGATAAGTTATGGATAAACTTGTCAAGTTATGGTTCATAACCAGATAAGTTATGGACAAAATTTTCAAGTTATGGTTCATAACCAGATAAGTTATGAATATTAACTTGTCAAGTTATGGTTCATAACCAGATAAGTTATAGATGAAAACAGTAATTTGGCCTATTTATTAACTTATGTAAACTATTGGCATATTAATTTTAATTCATCTCAAGTCTTGACCTATTTCTCTCTTTCTCCCTTATTTTATCTCGTACACGTCGTTGTCATGCATTGGATGGTTAAAGAAATATGTCATTTATTCATTTATTATTATTATTCCATTTTCTCTAAAAGAGTAATAAAGAAAGATATTAGTACCCGTCATAAAGACTGTACTATAATAGGAAGGTATTGGTATTAACAGATCAAGCCCCCTAAACCATACATTTAACTACAACACTACGACCTTGTTTGGTAGAGGGGTTTGAATCCGGTTTAAAATAGTGTTTCTCTTAAAAAAATGTGTATTTAAAAAGTTATGCTGGAGTACTTTTTTCATAAAAATTTAAATTCTTGATCAAACCATCTGATTCATTCTCATGAACCAAACATGTCCTCATCAAATGAGTATTCTCATACTGCGAATGTGATTATAAGTAAGGCAAGTTTATGGTTAATTTTAGTGGTTGACATTAAAATTTGACGAAAGCATATTAGTGAAGTTTTAATAATCTACCCTAAAAACAACAGTCTCAGTATTTTTTTTTTTCGATCTAGCAATATTGTTTGTTACGCGCCAAGTTTTCTCAGTAATCCCAGACTGCAATATACGTCGTTAGAAGTTGATAACTGTCCCTAGGGATTTCTTATTTAAATAAATAAATAAATACAGTGCCTTAGCATTGAAGAAAAAATTTCTTCATAAAGATGATAGGTCAAAATTTTCTTCTTGTTGACAATTTTTTTCACACGCCAAACTTATGCCTTGAAAAGTCTGATATCTGCTACTGCCTAATTTAACCTGTTCAATAATCTACCTAATTATTGCCCTTTTCCATTGTACTTAGATATATAGCGCAAAAAAAAAAAAAAAAAACAAAAAAAACAAAAAGAAAAACAAAAACAAAACAAACCTTAGATTTTTTTTTTTTCCCCAATAATTTTCACATTTGTTATGTTAACTGGAAGATAGTTGTCCGGTACTCTTTTTTTTTTTTTTTTTTTTTTTTTATAAATAATTTGCAATTGATTCTTTGACGGATCAGTTTGAGATGATCAAGTTTTAGAATTTGTTGTGCATATAACCAGGCTAGGAAATTAACAAGATATACAAAGTTGATATATATGCATATATATATATATATATAATCACCAAACAAACATGCATACTTAATATTAAAAAAAAAACATGTAGACAAATGCAAGAAAACATCTGTAAGATATTAAAATTAATACACTTGTGAGAATGGTAGTTCATTAATTGTTCCGGAATTTCGCCTTCATTCATTTCCTTCGCTTTTTGGATTATCTTTTTTTTTTAAGGAACTTTTTGGATTATCTTCAGATTTATTAACTCGTGTTAATTTTATATTTATTTTTAATAAATTTTTTGAATTGAGGTTTGTTGTGTGATGATGTCTACCGAACTGAAAAGTATCAATGTAATTAGTTGGAATGTTCTAAATCCGTACAGTTAAGTCCTCTGCGAGAAAAAGTATCAACAAATTAACACGCTAAGAGAAACAACAATTTAGTACTTTCAAAAAAGAAAACTTTGACTCTATGGGCAGGATACAGGCGGTAATAAACTAACCCAAATATAAAAGAATCATTATCGTAAAAAAAAAAAAGAACGATTTCAACAAAAAAAAAAATTATCAAAAAAATTACCCAGATATAAATATTAATTAATATAGGCCAACGTAATTGGAATATTAAGAAGGCTTCAGTTGATCGATTAGAATTATGATTTAGAATTATTTTTTATTTATGTGTATTTTTTATGAAAAAAAATATTATAATAAGTCACGAATTATAATCCAAATTATGATACGAATCCTTCAACCAAACGTTTCATAACTTTAGATCAATTCGTAAACGACTTGTCCCTAACAATGATCTTCATATCCTTTTTTTTTTTTTTTTTTGGGATAATATCTTCATATCATTTTTCATGATGCAATGATAGTCTGTAGTCAACACGTACAAAAAAAATTTATATAAAACACAATAATAATAAAGAAAATTACATAAAGATGTCTAATCAATTACGAAAAGCGGAAACTACAAAATTGAGATCCGTCGAAATATATTCTTAGGTTTCTTCCGGGTCTTTCCTTTGAAAAGTAGGACGCCTGTTTATAAATATACTTGAAGAAATTAAAGAAACTTATATTTATATGATCATAACATTGCTGCTTAAGATTTATCCGATAATTTTAGAAGATACAAAGTAGTTAGTGAACTTAAGCCTCGTTTATTTCGCTGATTTAAGTTTAAAATTCAAATTTTATTATAGTAAAAAGCTTTCACAAATAATCATATCTAATTTTTTTTATTACAATAAAAAATTCTCATATAAAGTCACATCTCAACTTAAATTAAAAACTCGAGTCAACAAACTAGACGGGCTCCTATATAACTTGTTTAACTCGTCCTTTTCTTCTTTAAAATATGGTAATTATCCTTTAAATCCACACGCAACCAAGAGACCTACCCACCCTCGACTTTCTCTACTGCAGCGCTGGCAAAGTTAGTCCACCATAAGCAATCATTTTGTCAAAGTAAATATCTTCATTTGAAGTACCTTAATTCTGGTCAGAAATTAATTTTTACTTGTTCAAGACAAAAATGTTAACTTCTAATAAGCAATGACGTACTTAACTACTTATGTGAGAGGCGTAATGCGTCATTTTAATTCCACAAGAAATTAATGAATATTAAACCGTTAGTCTTTAAATAGTCTCAAATATTTAGATCTCTCGATCATCCTCATTTTAATTCGTTCGTATAAGACTCGAACTTGAGATCTCTCAATCATCTACGTAACTCGGTCAGTAATATGCTTCAAAAAAAAAAAAAAAAAACATGGTAGTATGCGTACTAGCTAGCTAACTACCATGCATTGTGGTTGAAATATTATTATATAAAATTTACGCTTATCAACTTGGTCCGTACAGCAGATAAATATACGTAAAAGTAATAAACAAAGTGAAGACCAAATAATGGAAAGAATATATTATATCTTTGAAGGTTTCAATTTGATCATGTGGATAAATAATGTTTGAATTTTTATATAGAAGACTGCTCGTCAAACAGGTTTTTTTTTTGGTAGAGATATTTGTTATACCACTAGCGACCCTTGCAGAGGACGCACGCATCGAACGGTTACTTGGTCAGCATTTTTCGTTCGTGAGGAGTAGAAAAATTGTAGTTGTTTACGTGTCTTTGTATAAGGTGCGATAAAAAAGTATATGTACTTTTTTTTGGATAAATAAATTTTTTGAATCATATTTAACATACCGTTATGTCGATGTAAAAAGTACCTCGAAATTTGCATTGAGATTGTTTCTTTTCTTTTTTTTTTTTTTTTGGAAAATTAACGACAATATAGTGCTATAATTCATTTGGTGTTTACCACAAAATACACAAGAGTACTGACAATGTAGCTTTCAAGAGAAATCCTAACCAAAATCTCAGTTCTAGTTTTATCATCACAAAAACATATTGACATTTTCAACATGTATTCAAATATAGCTTAGATTTTATTCCTGGTTGATTGCCTACGCAAATGCCAGTTTAAATTACAGACAATTTAGATTTTATATTTCAAACGAAAAAGGTTGAAAACTTTGAAGTCGGAAGCAACAAAAACTTACAAAAAATTCGATCTTACCGCCTTAAATTTTTAGGAAAATTTGTAATTCCATCAAAAAATTTTAGTTACTTTTAGTGACGACAATGTCCTCTGTTGATGGTGAATTTTCGTCAACAAAAACAAGCCGGGTTACCTCCAGGTTTCCTGTCAGATTACCGGCTTTAATTGAAATTATATGTAAAGGTTTTGTGCCGAAGGTGTTTGTGGTATTTTTTGTGTAGTGAGGAATATAAGAAAAAATACTTAAAGTAGGAAAACACACAAGGTTTATAGTGGTTTACTCTTATAAAATGAAGAGCTACATCCACTGTGGTTTTTTATTCCTTTTGAGATTGTTACAATTTACAAATTACTTTCTCGTTCTTTTTTCTCAAGAAAGATCAACCTCCTTTCCGTATGAGGTTTCTCTCCTTTTATAGCTGAGCTTCCTTCATTGGAGGAGTTTTCTCCTGTAGGCTGAACATGC